GACCTAAACTGATACTGAGGATTGGGGGCCACTAGGACCGCCCATTCCCCGGAGTCAGCTGGGGCGGAAGGGCCCTTCGCAAGAAAGCCAGATGCGAAGTGATAGGGAAGAGGCAGGCAAATCCATAGCCCCCCAGACCCCAGGCTGCCTCGCGTTACCTCGATTCGGGGCCACTAGGACCGCCGAAGGGAGTCCCGTTCAACAGCCGGAAGAGCGCGGAACGGAGCCAAGGCTAGGTGAAAAAGAAGCGGAGTGACAGCCAAGCAGTGACCAGCAAGCCGCAAAGCAGCTGGTGCAGAAGTTGCTGTGCCTGGGCAGCTGGATGCAGCAGAGGCACTTCCAGACCCATGGGGGGCTGCTGGGGCTGGGCAGGCACATCTCTCTAATGAGCTTCCTGATCCATGGCAATAGATTTGCAAAGCGCAGCACAGGCCTGTGCTTGTGGGGTGCTAGTCGATGGCAAAGAGCCACGATGAGTAGACGATAGTATATCGTAGCAAGTTCACGGGGTGCTCAGAAGTTGAGCTGCGTTTCTCTAGCCAGCACATGTGGCGCAAGACAGTTGAACTTGATTGAACGGTTTGGCAAGCCAGTCCTTTGTGCAGCCGTTTGGGTTTGAGTTTGATCCTTGCCTTCCCTCATGTTTGGCTCTGGCTTGGGCTGCCTGGAGGAGGAGTCAATCTTTGCCAGCCAAGGCAGCGTGGCTTCACAAGTTGGACTTTCACAGACCTTGCAGCTGGCGCCTGCTGCCGCTGACCTGGATCCAGAGCACAAGGCGACAGCTGACAGAGCAAGAGAAGCAGGCCATTGCCAAGTCCCAACTGCAGGCCGGCAGGCCAGCAGCCCAGAGGCGAAAGCTTCCAAGGACTCACTCCGAGTGGAGGCACAAGCAGACGCGTGGCCAGGCGCCGGCCGCAAGACTTGTGACCCAGTCATGAAGAAGCCAGCTGCAGCGCCAATTGGCCCTCCAGGGCCACATTTGCTGGACGCGTTCTTCTACTCCAACGTGAAGTTGGTGATTTGCGCCCACCAACGCGTACGCCAGTTTTGCTTTTTGCTTCAAGGTAGAAGTAGCAGCGCAGTGCCTGTAGTGTGTAGGGCCCAGCATGGATGAGGAGTTTGGAGTGGCACACCAGGATGACCTGCTGAAAGTACACCAAGCGATTGTGCTGGAGCTGAAGCAGAGCATGGACAAGACTGACGCGTATGGCAATGCCCTGCATGCCGACTGCTGTGAGTGGATGGCAGCCCAGTTCCCAAGCTCTGAGAGGCTGGCAAACTGGAAGGAGCAGCTTGTGGCACTGGAAGTGAAATGTCGCCAGATTGCTGGTCTTCAGGATGCTCCATATCAGGCCAGCGCTTTGCATTGCTTCAAGGGAGCCACCATGTGAAAGGAGCTCCTGCACAAACCTGCAGAAGTTTGTGGCTGGCTATGGCAACAAGACTGCCAAGTACCCTTTGGAAGTTCTCTACCAGTGGGAGGGTGCAGCCAGGTGCAACTTCGAGTTTGCAGAACACCCAGGAAGGCACAGCAGTCCAGCCATTTTCCCTGACAGTGAGCACTGGCTCGTCTGTTTGCATGGCCTCACAGCTGTTCTGCTGGGGCGTCATCCAGCTTGGCACCTTGGACAAGCTGGCCAGCACCGAGGGTGTTGGACAAGCTCTGGCCCGCGGGCTGCTGAAGTGTCTCCGACTCCCAGCTTTCAGTTACTGGCTTGTTATGTCCAAAGTCCCATTGAATTCCAAGATGTGTTTCTCTTGGGATGGCCAGGACTGGTGACCACCACCAACCCACAGGCCTCAGTGGAGAGCCAGTGCATGGAGAGCTAAACAGATGCTGCTCTTGGCAGAAGCAGCAAGTGTTTTCAAATTTTCAGGTGCGTTGGAGACTTGACCAACTGGGGGTTTGCCTTGCGTGAGGTTCGACAAGATTGTGCAAAAGAAGCTTGGCGCGGGCTCCCGCAAGCTTCGCAAAGACTTGCTCCAGGAGTGCATTTACAAGCACAACAAGGTGGCTGTGGGCAAGGCCAAGGTCACCAATGACGAGGTGCAAGCAATCTACACCAATGACCAGGGCCAGCCCGCAGGCCCGCAGGCTTTTCAGATTTTTGTGGGGCGCTGAAGCACCGGCACACTGTCAAACAAGATCCCTGCTGACAAGAATGAGGTGTGGCATGAAATTGCCACTCACAGCTGGGAGAAGGTGGAAGAGGCCTTGATCAGGTTGAAGACAAAGTGGGACACCAAGTGCGAGGAGTGCATCAACAAGGGCGCCAAGCCTCCAGCCGGCAGGCCTCGTGGCGCGACACTGGCAAGGAAGCTGAGGTCTTCATGATGGCATCTTTGATGGTTGGGCACATGAAAAGGGCACTGCCTGCGGATGAGTGCAAGCGGATCAAGACCCAGTGGCGGCGAGGCAATTTGGACCAGAAGCTTCTTCCGGAAGTTCAGGCCCTCAGGCCAGATTTCAAGCCTGCAGACTTGGCCTTTCTACAAGACCTGGCCTGCAGCCCTGCAGGCCGTTTGCCCATTGACTTTGACGCAGACAGTGACGCAGGAGTCCGTCAGGCAGCTGCTCCTACTGCGCCGTGGCCTGGGCGTGGAGAAGCACATGAGGGCCTACCGGGCAAACCTCCGCAGACACCAGTCAACTTCCCTTGCAGCAGCTTTCTCTACCAGATCCAGACAGCCAAGTGCTTTCAAGTGCTTGGCGTGGTGAACGTTCCAATGTTGGGGGTGCATGCCTCTAGCTGCAGGCTGCATGAAGGACATTGTCTCTGCTTTGGCCACAGACCTGCACGGCCACCGCCATGCATTCCGCCAAACCAAGCTCGGCATGGGACTGGTCGGTTGGGAAAGCTTGAGAGGGACTCCAAGGTTGCTGCGCATCAAGCCCTGTGGAAGAACGAGCTTGAGTCAAGCGGAACGGAATGGTTTGCCTCACGAAAGCACAGGGCATCGTTTCTGCCGAGTCGATGTACAGACAAGCGTGACTTAGGATTTGAGGCCTGCCAAGCTCCAAAAATACGTTTGGCTCCTCTGTCCTGGTGAAGCGCAAGGCCATTCCAGACTTGGTGACTGCCGAGCTACTTGAAGCGCCACACATTTGCCAGCTCAGGGGACACGAACCGTGACGTTGACATTGGGCGGCGTCAGTGGTTCTCTGGGCAGGCTTTTCTCCACGTTCTGGTCAAGGACTTTACCATGTGCGATGCCAAGCATGCGATTGCCCAGAATTCCACCACAGGCCAGGCCTGCAGGCTTGGCTACTTTTGGAGCCAGCAACAAGGAGACCGTGGTGCAGAATGTCCAGAGCGTTGTGCAGGAGAAGGTGAAGATGGCCATCCGGCAGAACGAGTACCCTTTGGCAGCAATCCCAAGCAGCTTTCAGGCAAGGCCCCAGCAGGCTGCAGCGCCGCAGGTTGACAGCAGCTTGCTCACGTTGGCCCAGCCCCAGGCAAATGGGGAGCTGATCCATTGGGAGCACACCACGGAGCAGGGCATGAGCTGTGGCAAGGCTTGCCTTCCAGAGACTGAGGAGCACAAGGGCATGGGCTGAGCACAAGTTGCGCAGAAGCACAACGATGAGTTCAACAAGGTTGGAGCAGGCCAGCAGGCCTGCAGTCACACTGGCCAGCAGTGTGGACGAGCAAGCTTTGGCAACGGGGCTATGAGGTGCACGTCAGCAAGGACGGCAAGGTCTACTTGAAAGGGCTTGCTGATGATGTGGTTGACAAGCCACTTTTCCCCATCGCTGGCTTCTTCAAGACTGGAGCGGAAGCTGGCCAGCTGATTGAGTCTGGTCACAGCTCGGTGCTTGCCTATGACTTGACGGCGGGTACAGAAGTGCTTCTTCTGCCACCATGCCTGGCGCCCTTTAAGGATGTGCCAGCAAAGATGCAGGACATCCTGACAGCCATAGGCCTTCCAAAAGCCGATGTGCACTTGCACCAGGTGACGTCGACAGTTGATGGAGGGCAAGTGACATGGGCTGTCAAGTCAACTGAAAAGTCATGCTTGAAGGCAGCTGTTGAGGAGCCACCGGATGATGCGTCGGCTCGCTTCCCTCCTGCCGAAATAACACTTGCAAAGATTTCAGGCTTTGCAGACCTTGCAGGCCTGAAGGCCAGCAAAGTCCTTTTTGCAGTTGACTTTGATGGGTCCAAAATGAAAGGCATGCACCCATACCTGCGCCTGTCGCATCCTGGCAAGTTGCCAAAGGGCGTTATTTCTCAGATTTAGGATTGCCAGCAGAGCAGTATGAGCATGGACGCGTGCAAACATTGCATTGGGTTGACGCAGACCTGCAGCACCATCTGACTTTAACCACATCTTTAGCACTCACTTTGTATGACTTTAACTTTGCGTTCCCCTTTATTCAACTTCTTTAGCCCACTTGGTGTCTTATATTCTGTGGATTCAAATCCGAGGGTCAATCTGAGACAATTGTAAGACACCTAATATAACCCCAAAACAAACAACCCTTCCACCTTTCTCTGACCGCTTGGCGCCCAGGCCTGCTGGCCAGCTGCTGGCCAGCTGCCAGTGGGCCACTGCAGGCCCTTTGCCCTTGGTCAGGCCTGGTCAGGCCTGGTCAGGCCTGGATAGGCCTGGATAGGCCTGGATTGGGTTTGGATAGGCCAGCTCCAGGCCTCCTGACCCTTTCAATCCCCCCACCACACAGCCCCAAACCCATGCCCAAACCCATGCCCAAAGCCACCCAAAGCCCAAAATGATGGTGTTTAAGATTGCCCCTGCTGATGTTTAAGATTGCTTGCTTCTACCTTCCGGGCAAACTTTATTGTTTCGCCAAAAGCTGGTTGCGCTCCTGGTTTTCGCAGGAGTTCGGGTTGTCCCCCAGTCATCTTTCTCAAAATTGGGACCCCATCCGGGTAGGTGGTTTGCATTTGGAGACACCCCTGAAAAGATGGCCACTGGAGCGCTCAGTGGACTCGTCGAGCGTGTGTCACTCAGCGGAGACCTGACCTCTCTTCTCTGTCCTGCGCTGCGCAGGTGCTGGGGCACAACAGCCCTGCACATGGAAGAGGCAGCAGCCAAAGCCAGAGGCACCTGGCGAACCACGAATGGAGCTCAACGAATCCTACGGGAAAAAAAAGAAAGGAACAAAAAACAAACGAAAACGGGTTGCTCACTAGATCTTTAAAGCTTTGCCTCCCAGAACAAAGGAATCTCATCAGAACAAAAGCCACCTAGCCTTGCGTGAAAAGCAAAAAGGACCGTCCCGGCTCTTTCACCGCATGAAGGGAAGCTTCAAGGGTAAAACCAGACTCACATGGCCAAGGGTCAAAACCCGTACCCCCAGTGAACATCCAAATCCCCGCTAAAATAGACTAAAATGAGTGGTGCACCCACCCCAACATGGTACCATTGGTTTTGACCCACAGCCACATTTGTAAAATACAAATTCCTCCATTTGCGTGCTCCAGTCCCCTGGAAAAATGAGAAAAGATGTCCAGTCGCGAGTCGTAAAATTGATTCCCTTTAAAACCAACAGGGGAAATTAAAAAAAAGAGTCTTAAGCAAATGGAAGCAAAGTGCGCTCACCAGTTGGAACATTTCCATCACCGAAGGGAGAGGCGCCATTTCTGGACTGAATGGCGCGTGACCAAGTTCGCTCGAACATGGCAATTGGCATGTGGAGATCTTCCGGGACATCGATCAAATATACCCCCTACTCAAAATACCCGCTGGTTTCAGGGGTATTTTTGGGAAAACCTGGATTTTCAGGGTAAATACCTCCTTTTTTAGTAGAGGCTCGACATGATACCCTGAAAAAATCCGGGTATTTGGAGTAGGGGGTCATCTGAACCCCAGTTTGAATGGCCCGCCTAGGAGATGCCTTAAGCCCTTTCTGCTGGAGTCTGGGTCCCAAACGCGTCAACATGCTGTAGATTTGGGCGTGTCGTTCTTTGGGTTGGCTTGAGGGGAATCGACAGGAAACATCGGATTTCCTGGCCCCCTCTTTTACAAACCAAACGCCAACAGAGCAGCGGTTCTAAAGCGGTAGCCCGGTAGAGGCATGGCCATGTGGCCCACGCATGTCCGCTCCACTCCCTGAACATCACAATCGCTTGCAACAGAAATCTTACAAAACTGGGCTGCCCTCAGATCCTGTGCTTAAAGTTCAACTTTTAGTCGTGGTTTAGTGAAAACTACCACAAACCCAACTAAAAAGGCTGGGAACCACCGGAAAAGATGGATTTGGCAACCCCATTCATGCTCTGGAGTGGCTTGGGGGTCCCCCCCACGCTCGGCGCGTTTGGCCGTCTTCGCGGTCCTTGCCTCATGCATGGCGCAGCTAAACTCCACCGGAAAACGTGGGCACTGACTGAAGCCAATGCTCGGAAAGCAGCAAGACCGCATGTGCCAGTTACATGGCCCTTCCGGGCGTCCATCTGATGCTGGCTCTAAAACTGGGCTGGCAGACCAGAGAACAAGCATTAAAGCTCATGGAGAAACGCCACTCAACACCACCAAACAAGCATGCGTAGAGGAAGGGTGGTGTAAATGAAATAAGGTTCTGGGTGAATTATTCTGCTTTCTTAAGTTGCGAACCTGAAAAATAAGGGAACCACGAGAAGGAATCTTAAGATCAATCGCGCACCCCTGGAGGTAAGGCGGCTCAAATTTGCAAAGAACGTTGTGCTCAACAACTCTTCGAGGCAGCTGTGAGGCCTTCTCCCTCAGGGCTGGCTTCCGAAATGGCGTCCGTGTGGGTGGCGTTGCTTTTTTTTGTCTGGTTGCAGCCTACCAAAATATGGGGGAAAACCACCAAAAACAGGGGGACCTTTCAAAAGGGCAGGCCAATTGTCACTTCTCACTGAGGGTAGGATGCCCTCCCTTCTTTCACGGGTTGCCAATGTCCCTTAACACGCCCACTGCCAAATAGGTCGAGATCTCGGGGCATCGTCATGAAGGTTTCAGCTGGGTGTGGCCCAAAATTCAAGAGGTAGGGTTACGTAGGTTTTGGTCTTTGGTTCCATTTACCAGGGTGCCATTTTGTGTACCATTTTTTTAAGCCACAGCCAGTTGATGATGGACGAATGGATCCAAATATCTGCCCATTAAAGGTCAATAACGGCAAGCAAAAACACAAACTCCAATTATCTCGCCCGAAAACAACTATTCCCACAGGCAAATTGCCAACTGGGATCAAACGCTGCTGGCGTCAATGAACCACATAATCGGCTGCATATTGTCAAGCCAACTACTTGGTGAATGGTCGGGTGATCCTGCCTACCTGACCCATTGTCTCGCTCATGTTCGCAACCAACATGGATTTTAGACGTCAATTCACAGTCGAAGGAAGGGCGCAAAATGACGAGGTGTGGTTCAGTGCTCAAGGATTGGAAGATGCAGTGTTGTACGAGGAATGGATAGAACAAATCCAGTGAATGTTCAAGTGGCAAAACAACAAGGTTTCAAACACAGTGGCCAGTCGAATGAGAATAAGGCGGAATGGATCAGTCGAGAAGTTGTTGGCGGGCTGTTGTGCAACAAGTGTCCAGCAAACAGCTGCAAGAATTAGACTTGCAAAACTTGTGTTTCCTGCACCATGGAAATGTTTACCCCGGATTCGAAAACCCCTGGTGGATTTTTGGTTGGGGGGTGTCCTCTTTTAGTGGTTGGATTCAGACCACTTTTGGAGGGAACACCACCCTGGGACGGGTTCTACTTAGACCCTGGTCAATACTATTCTGGTTTGACAATCTGTGGAGAATTCCTCCAATTCGAAGGGTTGATTCCTTGTCAAAATTCTTTCCAACCATCGTTCTTTTCAAAAACCCATCGCTGTTTCCCCGGGCTGTAACGGGTGGCTTTTGTAGAAAGAACCGGATGCCTGAAAAGAATGGACATGGAACGGGGGGTCAGCTTTTAACGCCACAAATATGGACATGGAAGGTACCCCTAGACCAAGGGTCCAACGCGTCCTCTGGCCACCCCAGGCCGCGTCAACTTTTTGCAAGCGAGAGCCGCGCACTTCCAAGAGGACTCGACGCACTGCAGGGACAGCGCAAGCCGCTTGCCGGGGTCGGTCTGTGTTGCATGAACAGGGATCCTTACATGAAAAACACCTGAACATTGCCTTGTAAATGGTGGTTTCAACCTTTATTTTGGTGTTGAAAAAGCAACATGTTTCAAATGGTTGCAACATGGAGATCTTTTAAGGAGCCCTGATGAAATGGAACGATTCTGACATACGCTTCACCTCCGGCAATGCCTCATTTGCAAGTGTCCAGTCCGGAACGTCCGGAACGGCATGATTCAATCCAGCAGTTCTTGCTTCAGGAAGCAAATCGAGCACAGGTAGCCTACCTCAGCCAAGTTGTGCTGAAGCGGCCAGTTCCTGTGAAGCCCACCTTGCTGGCTTGCTGGAACGTGTTTTTTTGTTGCCTGCCACGTAAGAAACTTGAGTTTGATACAAATTCCGCGCATAGGAGCCATCTTGGTAGAAGCGTGACGTGTGACAATCCCTCATTCAAGGTTATTTGTGATGGCCAGTTGCTCGTGAACCAGCTTTTCACATAAATAAGAGTCCTGGTCTGCTCTGGTTTTTCTGAGACACCTTGATGACAAGCTTAAATGTTGAGTGGCTGGTGAATGGTCTTTGCAGAGTCAACATGAGGTCGAAACTGCAAAGAAAACCCCCGAGCCAAGCAAGCCAGCCTGCACCCGAGTAGCAGGTGAGCGAACAGTTCAGCGAAACAAGGGAAAACAAGATCGAACATTGCAAGCAGTCAGCCATTTCTGCGTGATTGGTCTTGAACATCTTGGACTAGTTCCTACTCGGCAATCTTCGCAGAGTGACGACCGTCTTGTATGCTAGGCTGCCAAAGCCCGCTCCACAGGCTGACAGTCTCCTTTTCGGAGTTTGGAAAAACCTCCATCGGGTCCCGGCTGGATGTCGCATTCCTGCGGCCTGTGAGCAACATTTCGCACAATTTCCCGTGTGTCGATGTGTTGTTTTCCACGAACAGGACCTGCTGAACGGTCGCGCATACGCATTCCTCAAAATAGCCGCAGCTTCACCAGAGATCCACGTAGAATCTCCATGATCACTTGCTGGTTGGCAGGGAATGAGAAATGGAACGACGCCCCCCCAAAAAAGCATCCAACTGGTGGCTTCCTTTAAGGAGCCCAAAGCCTGGGTTCATCCCATGTCTCATTCCCGAAGCACCAGCAAGAAAGTATACCCATCGCCTACAGTTTCTTGAGTGACCTCTAAGCTTTGGGCTCCCGGGAGAAAAAGGTCGGGGGCCCCGATTTGGATTGAATTTAAGGGGAAACCAAAGGGACACTCTGGACTGTCCGTTTTCAGATCTGCTAAAAGTTTTTCGAACTTGTGGGTGAAATGGAAACGACGACGACTTCCTAAAAAAGCTAAAAACTGAGGAACCTGATGGCTGCCACCAAGGGATGCATTTCCACAAACCATCTGGTCCTGTGAAGGCTTCAGTTTACTTGCGTCGGGCTTCATGCGTGCCGCGCAAAGGCCTGCTTGATTTGTTTGCAGTTTCCAGCCACCCGAGAAGGTAGATCGATGATCGATGAGGCTGAGTAGACAGAAGGCGGACACGATTTCACATGTACGCATATCTGCGTAAAACAAACAAGAAACGCATGTGTAATAAATACATAGCGTCTCCGCTCGACAAAATTCACTCGTCCACCAGTGTCACATCACTCAGCGCTTAGCAAGTATTGCGGCTGGCTCGAATCAACTCGATTGCGCAGGTCAGTCGCCACTCCTGATCATCAGCGAGGAATGTTGCGAGCGCTAAGCAGCCAGTGATTTGAATCGAAGAAAGACTTGCTGAGGGGATTCACACCCTCACGATCTCGGTTATCGGTTTCCTTTTTGGCTCCGATATCGGTGTCGTTTTCGGCTTCGGTTTCGCTATCAGTTCAGTTGTCTGTTCGTGCTGAGAAGCTCGTGCGTGATCAACGGTAAGGCCAGTCCGTCTACTGAAGAACACCAACACAACGTGTCAAACCCATTTGATTGTGCTTTTTTGAGGGTATAACCCTTCTCCAAGTCGGTTGAAACGGAATCCAAAAGGACAACCACCATGTTGGAGCAATTCTCACTTTTTAAACATACCCATTTTCGAGCGCCGCACTTCTACTCTGAGTGTGGCACCAATCTTGTTCATGGCTCCAAAACTGAATGGACTTGCCTTTGCGTGACAAAGAGGCGCGCTTCTCCCTCTCATAGTCCTAGGTCCCATATACATATCAGGCGCCCTCCCATGAACTACCTTTCCTTTCTTCATAAAATGACTGCAAAAAAACACCGTGTTTTTTTCCATAGCTATAATATATATATATATATATATATGTATGGGTTTGTATTTATTCTGCCTTTTGAAGCAACTCAACACACCAAAAAAGGACAAACCCATATATATATATACATATGATATATTAGAATATATGTCCGTGGGAGACTCGAGCTGACATAAACAAGACGTGTAACACCTCTTCTCCATCAGTGCACCCGCTGAAAAACCCCAGGAGACGCAGGCTCTCAACCCTCGCACCCTCAGGAAAAAAATGCTCAAGTAAGCCTCGAAGCATGTGTTTGATCCGTTCACAGCTCACACACGTTTCGGATCCGTGGCAGATAGGCGCAAAAAAGAAGAAACACTATGGGCGTGGGTCAAAAAAAACATGGGTAACCCCACAACCCTAAACCCTGGTACATGGAAGCAAAGACTAACACCTGCGGCCCAGAACTGGTGGGCTTCATGTTTGACCCATACCCACATGAGTCACAATTAAAACCCGATAAAAAACTGGTCGTAATCCCAGAACCATGCTTCAAGATTTATTTGTTTTATTAAACAAAAAAACACAGATATCCGCAACTACATCCCAGAACCATGCTTCAAGAATTAAAAAGGCAGATATCCGCAACTATTTCTGGCTGGCACTGCCCCTTCACCAAACGGGTTTTGAGCACGTGGCTCACATGGACTCCTTAAGTCTCGCTGCCTTGGGATCATGGATTCGTGCTGTTGCGGGAGAAATCGACTCTGGCGGGAAGCACAAAACGCGGTGGATTTTCTGCTCGCCTGCTAAAAGTGAATCACTTTTTGTGGTTTAATGCGGAAAACCCAAATTCGTCGGCAAACAGTTCAAGTCCTAACATCCAAGCAGAATGCACCGAAGAAAACACCTGCACACGTGCTGCCACGGTGGGAAAAACATTCTTAATAAATACCCCTTCTTCGGGGAGTCGATTCAACCGGTGGTGGGTCTGTCCTGTTTTTTTTGAGGGTAATTCTTTTTGAGCTTGGCATGCAGAAAACCCACCCATTTTGCGGGGACAGATCTTGCTAAGAGATGAAACATCCGATCCCCAGGTCCTCAAACAGCAGCCTCAAGCCGTGACTTCGCCCTCGACCTCCTGTTGGAAGCAGCAACAGCTACGCCACCATTGAAGTTGTAGCTGCCATTCGCGAGTTCTACATATCAAAAGCAGCATGGATGTCCAGTCCGTAAGAAAACCATTTCTGGAAATGCACAAACAAATTGAGGCTATTGGGAGAAAAAAAGGAAAAAAAACAATACTCCTCATGTCGCACTTGTTTGCACAATTTTTTCGAAGAGAAGAATCCCTTGGTGCGCCCCACGGGCACAAAGGCTGCATGTTTGGGTTTGGAGGTGCGGGTCGGGTGTTCGAAGGCTCCCGGTCTGGGGGCTCCCTGGCTCCCTGTTCTGGGCTTTGGGTTCAACGCTTAAGCGACGAGTACGGTCTGCGGGCAGAGGATGGTTTGCGGCCATAGACGGCCTTTAGGTATTGCAGGCGTTGGGTTCGTGGGCCCAAAGGGGTCCAAAGGCTTGAAGAAGTCAAGGGTTTGGGCCTGATGGAGGGACTGATATTGAACAAACGCGAAGGTGTTACTTAAATCTTGGGGTCCAGTGTCAATCCAGTTGAATATGATCTAGAAGGGCCAAAATCTTGCTGGTTCTCAGCAGGGAAAAAGAAAATGACCCCTATAAACCATCCCCTACAATATGGTGTCTGTTAAATCAAGTCCCAACACCCTGGTGATTTCCATCCTATCGCACCAGCAAATAAAGTCCCGAATACGCGCAAACGTTCTTACTCCTGGGGCACGACGATGGGCGACGTGACGCTGCTAATGGAGTGAGGCCGAACCACGGCAGGATTCTTTTTCAGGAGTGTCACACAAACAGCTTAGCTCATTTGTGTGTGCGCACGTGTCAACAAAGGGGTACCCCAAAAACTGTGGTTTGCTTTTTGGTGTCCCTTTAAACCTTCAACCACCCCTAAAAAGGCCACCCTCAAAACAGCACACACACACTTCTCCAAGTTTGGCCAGGTGTCCTAATAAGATTTCTCTCTGTGGTCCACTTTGGTTTTCTTTATCTTCGTTCTCTTCCAGCTTGCATAGATGAACATGGTCTCAAGGTTGGAGGCCCGCCACACTGGCACGTTCAAGGAAGACATC